TAGCTGGGCATTGTGGCAGGCACCTGTGGTCCCAGCTACTTGGGAGGCTGAGGCAAGAGAATCACCTAAGCCCAGGAGTTGGAGGTTATTATGAGCTGTGTGACACCATGGCACTCCACTGAGGGGGATAAAGTGAGACTCTGTCTCTTAAAAAAAAAAAAAAAGCACCCAGTCTGGCAAGACAGAAGACAGGTTTATGTCCAAAAAGAGATCAAGATGTGGGGCTGTGGGACCACTGGAGAATGGACATTGTCATATAATCTACCTGGCCTCACTTCACAAACCCATGTCATGACATCAAGCTCACTAAATTCTCCCCGTTTAACCCCAGGCCATACCTTATGCTCAGCCCGTGGCTTCAGTCCTTCACCAGGGCTCCAGGCCCACATCACTCTCTCCTGCATGATGCATTCCCTGATGCACCAAGACAGAGGCCTCAATCTCTCCCCTGTGCTTCCTGCCTTGTTATTTACATCTGTGCTGGGCCCTTGTCAGAAGAGAGTGTTATCTGCCTCCTGGACCAAACTGGGCACTTTGTGGCTGACACTAAGGGCAGTGGTCACCGTTCTTCTTCCCACCCCAGTATGTGGTAACTCAGTCCTTTACTTTTTTTTTTTTTTTTGAGATAGAGTCTCCCTTTGTCGCACTGGGTAGAGTACTACAGCATAATAGCTCACAGCAACCTCAAACACTTAGGCTTAAGCGACTGTCTCAGCCTCTCATGTAGCTGGGCCTACAGGCGCCTGCCACTATGCCCAGCACTGTGGGAGGCCAAGGCGGGTTAGGAGCAAGAGTGAGACCCGTCTCTAAAAGTAGCTGGGCAGGGGCAGTGCCTGTGGCTCAAAAGGGTAGGGTGCTGGTCCCATATGCCAGAGGTGGCAGGTTCAAACCCAGCCCCGGCCCCAAAAAAAAAAAGGAAAAAGAGAATACCCCCAAAGATATGAGGGGCATCAACAAGGTGTCAATGACATAATTACTGTCTTAGTCTGGAATGACATTGCAGAAAAGCTTTTGTAATAATGGACTGAAAAAATAAAAAAATAAATAAATAAAAATAGCTGGGCATTATAGCAGACACCTGTAGTCCCAGCTACTCAGGAGGGTGAGGCAAGAGGATCGCTTCAGCCCAACAGTTTGAGGTTGCTATAAGCTATGACACCATGGCACTCTACTAAAAGTGAGAAAGTTAAGACTATGTCTCAAAAAAAAGAAAAAATTAGCCTGACCTGACAGTGCATGTCTGTTGTCCTAGATACTGTGGAGGTTGCAGCAGGAGGATCATAAGCCCAGAAGTTTAAAGATGCAGTGAGCTATGATTGTGCCACTGTACTCTAGCCTAGGCAACAGAGTGAGAGACTGACTCAAAACAAAAACAAAAAAAGGAATAAAAGTAAAATTCTATTAAGACATGGTCTTTTAGGCTCGGCGCATGTGGCTCAAGCAGCTAAGGCACCAGCCAGATACATCTGAGCTGGCAGGTTCAAATCCAGCCTGGGCCCTCCAAACAATAATGATGGCTGCAACAAAAAAAAAAATAGCTGGGCACTGTGGCGGGCACCTGTGGTCCCAGCTACTTGGGAGGCAGAGGCAG